CTCCGCGCCCCTGCCGCCCGCCTGCGGCCCCCGGCCCCGCAGCGACGCGGTCGCCGCCACCTCCGAGAAGGAGCTTCACCCACACCGACTGCCGTGGGCACAGTAATTACATAACGCCCTCCGGATTGTGGAGAGGGAGGAGGATTTTAGGCACGAAAACACAGTGAGTTGTAGAATTTGAAACACATCTGGCCGTCTGCCCCGGCGACGCTAGAGAACTGTGTTGTTTTTTATTAAGAGTATGTACGACAGCATGTACCCCATTAGAAACTGTCCTCCGGAAAGGTGGTCATTATGGAGTCGGGTGTTCTCTGAACAAGACTGAAAACATTTTCTGCCCACGTATGCTTTTAAAAATTCCTATTCTTTCTTTGTAGCTGTGCCTCGACTGTTCGGCATAGTTGGAAATATGAGTCTTAACAGTATTGTCAGGAAGCCGACGCCGTATATGTATTTTCCCTTTACAGATAAAGAATTTGTAGCTGGCTGATGCCTTTACTGACCAGAAAATAATTAACGTGGCTGTTGGATTTTAAAACCACTTCTCTTCTACTGCCGAATGCAGCAGTGCCTTACACGGTAACAAGCCTCAGACATGTTAACGCCATGACAATAGAATTTATTTCCTAAAGACGTGTTTATTTTCCGCTGTGCGTAGAGGCAGGCTAGAGACTTGGAGACAGGTAGGGGTGTGTTTTACCATCTGCTCATGTTTAGGGCAGTCAGACTCCGTATCTTTTATATTTTCAGCCACAAGGATTTTGAAGTTTGCCATTCCCAGAGAAGTCTTTCCGTGATCCAACATTTTCTCTTGGAGAACATGCGCCGTCCATAGCAACACGGTCCAAGTTATTTGGAAAACAACAACCAAGCATGGCAGTGTTAGGTATTTAGAGGTTGAGCCAGCGTTAAATCCTGTGCCTAAGCGGGTATTCAGCTTCCTTCCAGCATTTAGCACAAACTTGAAGTCAGTGTTGGGAAAATGACCTGCCTCAAGGTTACCTGTGGCTACAGGGGTTTTCAGTCCGAAGAGAAGGGCATGCAGTTTAAGCAAGAGAAGCTCGATTAATTTAGTGAAGCACTCCACCTTCTTTAAGTAGGGGGACGACAGCTGCAAGAGTATAATCAACGTAAATTTAAAAGTGTAAAAAAGTATTTTAAATAGAAAGTTATAAGCTTGCAAGTTAGGAAGGAAGGAAGGAATAAAAGAAGGAAAAGAGTTGGAAAAGCATTTTGTTTTTGTGAAAATTGCCTGATAGGTAGTTTTGTCAATGTAGAGCTAAGCTATTTTCTGAACTATCTGTTACATCTTCTCAGTGCCTATAAATAATGCTGGCAAACACATTTGCCTTTCCTCTACAGAACATCTGCCTTATTAACTATAAAATACCTCTGTGTTAATAGTCTGAAGTGAAAGAAATTTTAATTAAAAATTAAATGTGTCCGGTATACAGTGGCGATGTCTGAGGTGAAGTTCTGTTACTCCAAAAGGCCGGTGCAAAACGCGTGGTTCCCTCCAGATAGACGTCAGTTTCCAGAGAAGATGACTTTCCTGCATCCAGATGGGAGAGAAGCATTTCCTGCCTGTTTTCCTTCCCCATCGTCGTTGCTGATGCCTGAGCTTACAAAAACGACTGCAAAGCTCTTCCTGAAGAATAACCATTTAGGTACTAATGTCCCCAAAATAAAATCCTACCGTCTCATTTTTTGATAGTTTCTTGCTTCTGAATTAGCTCTTGGCTGTAGTTTTGCTTTTTAAAAACACAACCATCGGTATTCCCACAGCTGCTTTCCCCTGAAATGAGTGAGAAGGGTCATCTGAGTATGCTCCTTCCTGAGACAGACCTCAGTCCCTAACCCTTACCCTAACCCTTTGCCATCCTACCCAGCATGCATCTGTGCATTTTCTGCGTGTTCACATTTCCCTAACTTTGTCTTTCACATACGGTTTCTTGGTGTTATGTGCAGGCTTTTGTAGAAGCATTCAGAGCTAATGCCCCACCAAGAACTCAACTGGAGAAGAGATCTTTGAGCTTGGTGGCTGTGTACCGACATCTCCTTCAGAGGCTGTGGGACTGTTGGGCCTTCAGCTTCAGAGGAATCACCATGTTCACCTCCCCGAGCCCACGATAGGTTGACGTTCCCTACCACAGTGTCACATGCCCCCTAAGTTGGGGCTGACATGCCCAGTGTAAGTGGGCATGTCACATGTCAGCCCATTTTCTTTTAAAATGAAGGAATAACTGAAAGACACAAAAAATAGATGTTTTCTTTATAAACATCTCTTAAGGTGTTTAAAATATTTACCTGTAAAACTATGAGATAATCCCTGTGTATCCAGAAAGATAAACTTCGCTCATTACCTCTCTTTCGGATATCTTGCTGCTTTGAGAGACAGCCCCCCCACCCCCATGCACCCCACTGATTTCTTGAACATTCTTTGGAGATAACAGACACTGCAGAAGAAATGATATTTCAGGGTATTGGGAAAATTTTTCACCCACAATCTTATGCCTGGATTAATTTATTTCTCACTTGGGCAAAAAAGGAAATGTTATAAAGTCTAAATGTTGAAGCAACATAAAAATTTCCACAGAGAAATTTTACTTCAACTGAAGAAAATAATAAGAGTGAGCCACCAACTTACTTTGATAAAAAATGAGCTTTTAATTTTGTCTTCCACTGCATTATATAAGCCGACGCTGGCTGCATCTATATGTATGTCCTCCACGTCAGGATTTCAAAGACAGGAGAAAGCCCAGTACACATGGTAATGATAGAAAACACAGCAGGAGTGCCTTCTCTTCTCGTACGTGTGCACAAGACGAAAGCTCCTCAGAACGCAGTGGCGTTTATTTGGTGCAGACCGCTCATGCTATGCGTACTGGATGGCATAGCTGCTTAGCTACATTCCGCGAAAAGCAGAACAGCGCTTTATTTCTTTAAGATACCAAATGCTTCACACAGAGGGTGGAGGATTAAATATTTTAAGGCAAGCCCGCAGACATCGTTCATGCCTTTGGTCGACTGCACTAGGATTCTTCCGTGGATGCTGGTACACATGTCTCTTGAAATCCTAGACTCTGAGATAGTCTTCAAACCACAACACAACTTCTCGTTGCCGTGTCTTGGGTTTTGTAAACAGTTTATACAGAGAGAACAAGCAGGTCTCGGAAATGGCCAGACGCTGAAATAAGCCCTGGTTCTGATGGATGCGACCAGTCTAGTGTATGACTGTGTTCTTGTCATCTTCCAGATGACGTTTCTTTCTTTATCTTCTTCTTGCCCATGACTGAAATGTAAATTAGTCAGGCCTGGCTTTTATGCTGTGGAACTCTATGTAACTTTGTAATTGAAGTTCATGAAGTTAGAACTCAAATTATTGATGAGGTCGAGTTATGTCATTTTGAAACTGTAATGTCTGGCCTGGAGGCGACCTCCGGAAAAAGCTCAGGGAAGCCCACATTTTCTGCAAATGTTAATATCACAGTCGACTTAGATGCCCTCTGCAGAACTCACTGGCCCTGACGTGAACTTACTCTTCTTCTGAGAAATTAAAAAGGACTCACAATCAAGTATAAGTTGTATCTGTTGATTTCTTCATTAATGAGAAATGAATATCTCCTTCTGAAACAATCTTTAGCCAGCTGCAACCAGACAAGCTACCGTAGCTGTTGTGGCTGAATCTACTGTTTGAGGGATGTTTCTTTTTGTTTCCAAATTATCTTGCAGTTAAAGTTCAGGATTCGTGATATTTATTATCTGTGCTTTTTTCATTAAAAGTCCTGTGGGTTTGATTAGACATGAATAACTACCGTCTACATCTATTTTTGTGCAACAGATAATTATTTGGGGAAAGAAAGCAAAACTACAAGAAAAGCAGCAATTTTTGGTCGAGTCTATAATTTCCAAGCTTTTTCATGCTTCTGTGCCTATATTTACCACTTGAATGAAAGTAAATAATAACTTTTAATAATGCTTTTGGAAAACTCCTTTAAGAAACAAAGTAATTTATAAATATTGCACTAGCCTTATATTTAATATGTATATTTTCCAATTAAGGGTGGTTTTGAGTACTATAGATGTGGGCTCAAGTTTCTTCTCAGCATTTATTGTCTGTTACGGCTCTGTCTAGACATCTCCTCAAAACCTCATGTGGTCACAGAAGGGGCTTTTCAGTGGTGGCTGGACCTAGGGTGTGTGGTGCTGGGCTCAAGAGTGTGTGATTAGTAAACCAGCCCACTGATTGGTTTGGCGTGGTTTTGAGCATAGGCAATGGGTAGGTGTGTGAGTGCTGCCTGCCCTAAGGGTTGAAGCCTGGACAGAATAAAAGGGAGAGAAAGAGGGCTGCTGCTGTTGCTTGCTGTTTCTTTGCTGCTTTGCTGCCTTCTGCCCACCATGAACTGTTTCTCCTCTGTGATGCCCCTCTGCCATGCCACCCTGCCTTGGAGCCAGCCAACTATGGACTGAACGTCTGCAAACCATGAGCCAAAATAAACCTTTCCTTCAACTTTGGGTGTGGAGTGTTTAGTCTCAGCAATGACAGAAGTAACTAAGGCCTTACCTGCATGTCCTAAGCCAGTGGCTTCAGCCCGCTAGACCTCACCCAGCTTCCCGGTAAGTTTGTGTTTTGTATTTGGCACAGGTAGAGCAAAACAACACAAGCACATGGCCTAGCACAGCATCAGGTACACAGTAAGTGCTTGTAAAACACTTACATCACTTATCCCTGCCTTTGATTCAGATGGCAATGGAAAGAGTAGCTCATTAGACCTCAGAGTGATCTGTTCAGGAGCAATGCACAGTAATATTCTGAGCCTCCCAGAGGAAAACTGTGGTAAATTACTGCATTGGTAGGGAAGAATTAAGAGCTGGTACATGGGGGAAAAAAATTGAGATACTTCAAAACAAAAAGACAAAATAAAAACTGTCCTAGAATCTGGAGACTATTGACAAGGTCCACACGAGCAGGGCCCGGGCAGCAGTCTTAGTGTTGTGATTTTGACTTAGCCATGTTTTAGCAGAGCTATCTTCAAAAGGGTTTCTGCAGGACTCCAGCATGCCTGGGGGCTCTAACCCAACCCCAGGTGCACTAAGCCAGGTGTGTCATTGAACAGCTCCTCATTGGCGCTATATGGTAATGCATGTTACTGAAGTTAATCTAACCATAGCAGGAAAGAAGTGGTGACTTACAGAAGGTATCCTCACCTTCAGAGAACTTGGTGGACAGCTCAGGGTCCTAGAATCCCAAGATTAAGGGAGGATCATAGAAATTCTAAGTTGACAAAGAATATGGCGATTCTACTAGAGGGATCTTATTCACATCAATTGTCTCATCATGGTTATTAGTGGCACACACTTTTGCTTTAAATACAGCATCCTTGGATGATTAAGGGGGTGACCCTCCTGGCTAAAGAGGAAGGGGGTGCTGTTAGATCTAGGGTCAAGTTAAAGATCATGACTGGGTAAGGTGTAAGGTGCAGGATGAAAGATAAATCAACGCTCCTTTAAATGGTCAGGATTTAGTTGTGAGGTTATTGGAGTTTGTATGGAAGAAAATTTTGATCCCAAGTCAGACAGTCCTAAGTTCAGAAAGCAGCAGTCAGCTCAGCCTCTTTGTGGAGATCTGGGTCCCATGGGAGGAGTCCAGGATGGCTGGGCTGAGACACCACTTAGTCTGGTAATCGCGGAGAAGGAGGAACATGCGTCAGATGCAAGGAGACATGGATGTGGGAAATCAAGCTGGAAAACCACGGCAATTTCAGGAGAACAGGAAAAGATAAAGGGACCTTCAGAAGTTCCAGGGATATGTCTGAAGTTTGGAAGGCTTGGTTACTGGCTGCAGGAGCAGTGCTCATCTCTACTGTATATTGGGAATAGAGGGTGTGTGTGCGTGTGCCGTGTGTGTGTGTGTGTGTGTGTGTGTGTGTGTGTGCGCGCGCGTGCTGTCTTCAGCCAGATGCCCTCCCTCCCAGTGTCACACGCTTGGCCCCCTCTGGACATGCGCCACCATCTGGATGGCATGGAGCCCCCTGCTCCATCCATGGCTCTCTCCTTGTGCTTTGGAACGCTCTCGTCTATGATGCAAGAACTTCTCTAAGTCCTCATCTTTTTCACTAAAGGTGCTGCCTCCCACACGCAGTCCTAATAGAAGCCTACTTCTCTCAAGAAGATGCTGCATCCTCAGGAATCCTCCTCACCTTTGAGATCACTCTAGCAAACCTCTTTCTTACTTATTTAGAGACTGTTATTTATTGAGGAGTTGGAACTTTACTGCTCTGTCTCTAACCCAAGTCCTCATCTTTGATTACTTCAACTTGCAGATGGAGGATGCATTCAAAATTCTGACATCCACATCTGTGATTTTTATAAAAAATAAACATGTTTCAACCACATATTTTCACTGTCTGATCATGTATTTTGCCATCTTTAAAACATCGTACCTTATCAGTAGTAAATTTAGAGCTTCACATCTTACCAAATCATTCTACCCTTTCAGTTCTTTTGCTTCACGACTCCCACGACATTACTGATCAACTGCTTCACAAAGGTGCTTTGGTTTCTTTTCTGACTTTACCACATGGATCATTTTATTCTGTGTTTCTTGTCCTCTTGGAAACTCAGATTCAGTGTGCTACCACTTCCACCCATCTTGGCCTCACCCCTTATCCCAGGGAGCCCGCAGGTGAGTT